GATGCCATCGACGATACTGTAGTCATTGGAAGATGGTATCCACCAGTTTTTGCTGCCTCAACAAAATTTTTACGATATATAATAAATGCATTCGGTGATCTAGGCGGTTTACTATTACTATCGTCTGGTGTTATTACTAAATCTTTGGGTTTGATATTTGGTGGGAACTCTGGTTTGATGATAATGGGATTCTTATCTTTGTTTCTTTGGGAAATTGGCGCTTTCGCTCTAATGTTTGATTCGATTATATTATTGATTCGCTTGTCCATGACTGCCACGAAAAGATTTTTGAAATTCATGTTGGGACGCAATCTGGTCCTTTTATAATTTTTTTGCGAGTGCAAATGACGTAATTTTCTGTACACGTGGTCAAAAAAAAACATGTTTATGATCTATGCGCATGCAATTAAAATTTAATTGGAATTTTTTATTTTGTTCTCTTACTTCGGGAATAGTTAAATTACTGTGCCTATGAAACTTAGCAAAAATGTTTATCCTTTTAATTTTTTTTTTTAAGAATTGGAAGATTTTTTTACCCGGAACCGATGCTTCTCGAATACAATTAAATGCACACGAGGTCTGGACTGCTCCGACTGCACGATTACGTAGACAGTGACCTAATCCGAATGTGGACGGAACGAAATCTTGGACCGCTGATCCCAAGATCGAAAATTCTTTTAGTTTCAAGTAAGAGAAATCCTTCAAGTTTGTGTTTTAATATTCAATACACGCCAAAAAAGTATATGACATATGACCATCCTAATACACAATATCGCCGACACGTAATCCTGTCTCCAATATAATGTTTCACTTTAAATGACGAAGGCATCTTACGTCCGTACGTACGTATATACTTGCATACGCAATTCGTATTAATCAACAATGCATATGGATCGCCCGAAACGGGCATATCATTACGGTCATGGGTTACTTGAATTATAAAATCTCGACCAATAATGATAGTTTCGGACAAATTCCTCGCCTTACTAATCGAAATTACTGTATATCTGCTTAGTAAATCCGAATCCTATTTCGTTGTGTTACACTCGTGCGCCATCACAGTATATCGGAAAATTCTGGAAATTTTCTCATGATATCACGGATTAATAATGATTTGTTTATTTCATTTATTAATCATATTGACGTCATATACTCTTATTAATACATTGTATATAAGAAAATTGAACATTTATTATTATTAATAATATTATTATATAAACTAAAATACTATATATATTATACAGTCTGATTCAAAAAAATTATTGAAAAATTGTATTGGTATTTTTATTTATTTTAAAATACTGTATAATAAATAAAGTTATATAAAATATTTTCTAAAAATAAATTATTTAATTATAATTTTTCTTTTTTTTAAAAAAAATAATTTAAATAATTTTAATTTTATATTTGTATATAGTAAAATTGAATTCAATTATTTTTCAATTACTATATATAATAGAATTATTAAATAATATTATAGCAAATAATTCAAAATTATATTTAATTTAAAATTATATTATTAATCAAAAATTTTCTTTTATAGTAATTATAAAAATATATATATAATTTAATATATAAATTTATAAAGTATGGATTTACAAAATTTAAAATTATTATAGTTAAACTATTCATAAATGTTTATTAAATAATATAAATTTAACTTGAATTTAATTATAGAAATCTAAATAATTTGATATATTAAATAATTTATTTTGACTAATATTTATAACTAATTTTAAATTCTTAAGCTTGCAATATAATTATTTATATAGTATCAAAATTATAATACTTTTGTATTTATTTGTTTTAAATTTATTTATTTAATAAGAATATTATAATAATTAAACAAATTTTAATATTATTCATTTTCTAAATAAAAGATAAAATTATTATATTATAGCATATGAGAATATTATATTAATTAGCAACTACTACTAAAGAAATAAATAAATAAGATTATAAATAATATTTATAATAAATAATATTGTTACAAATTTGAATATTTTATAATTCTTAAAAAATAAGAATTTAGTACTTAATAAAATAATCATTAAATATATTTTTGATTAAAATAAAAATATTAAAATCTTATATTTAAAACAAATTCTCAACAATTAAATAAACTTATCTTAATAATAAAACAGTATTTATTTGATTATTAAGTTTAACTTCTATTTTACTAATGTTATTATTATAATATCATATTTTATTAAGTTATTATTTTATTTAAAATTCATTTTTTACAAAATAAATTATTATCTGAATATATAGTCATTTTTTTATAAATTATTTTATATTTTTGTAATCAAATTCAGATATTATAATAAAAGGATTAAAATATCTCAATTAATTATTTATTTTTCAAAGTTTTTATGTTTAATCCAAATATTCAAGTTTCAAATAATACTATTTATTCCTATATAATGTTTTTTGATATTTTATTTTTTAATTTTTATACAAAAGATTAAATTTTGATAAGTAAATTATATTAAATTCTATCAATTGTTTTTTAATAATAATTTTAATAAAGATATTCACATTCTCCAATACTTAGAGAAAATTTAAATTCATTGGTTTTTATTAACAGTTTTACTTTTAAACCATTTAAAAGAATTATATTTATTAAAAAAAACTCTTTCCCACTCTCCCTTCTGCGCTTGAAAATTTTCTTTTTAGAAAACTTTTTGAGTTGCTTATTTTTTCTTCGTCTCTTCCCTTCCCCTTCCCTTCTCTTGGTTACAAATCTTTTATTCTCCCTTCCTTCTCTTTCCCTTCTCTTCTATCTTTCCTTTTTATATCTTTCCCCTTTCCCTTCCTTTTTCCCCTTCTTCTCTGCTAAAGTTAGATTTTTTTTTCTTTCTGAAGATTTTTCTCTCTAGGCCTCTCCCTCTTTTCAAGAATACCGGAACCCATCTTATCACCCCTTTGGCCAGTCGACTCCATTCTCTCAAGAGAAAATAAGAAGTAGCAAATTTCTTCAAGAAGTGGACTTTGACAAGTTTTTCTCTTCCTGTGTTTTCCTCAGAAAAAGGACGAACAGTTTACCCCTCCAAAAGATCGGCATGACCATCATTACCAAATCTGGCATTGTTTACTTGTTGACGACTAAACTAGATATGTCTAAGAAACCGGTGCACACTATTATTGGTTGAATCTCTAGGTGCTGCGCCTTATGGGAATCTAGTAGGACAATACGTGAAGATCAGGGATTCTAGTTACCCCCCGCAAACAAAGCTGGTGACGTTAATCGCTTACTCCTAGTAGTAGGATAGTGGGCTTTTTAGGTACACGATGATAAAATTTTGGTTAACTCTAATCTATAGAATAGATTTCAAACTTTTTAACTTATTCCTAATAACTTCCGTATATATAGATATATAAATCGTTTTTTAACCAAAATCTTAAATTTAACCAAAAAATAATTTTGGCCATATTAGTGTGTGGCCGATCTCATAATTTTGACCACATTAGTATATGGCCGATTTCTGTCATCAGATCGCATATGACGCACGACAATTTAACCAAAAATATGTTATCTTATTTGACAGCTAAATCATTTACTGTTACAGAGGAGCATAGCGACTCCAGATACGTAGCATAGCAGAGCATAGTTATCTGTTTAGT